ATCTAAACCACAGAGTATTTGTATTAGGAAGGTGTACAGTGCTGCTGTGCTGTGTGCTTCGGCTATTGCACCTTGCCTGAAGAAATTAATTCTGTAACACAGAAGTTGGGCAGTCTGGGAAGGGACGTGCCTTAGCAGCAGCCCGTATTGATGCTGGGGATCCCCAGCCACTTGGGAACGATGCTTGTGTGAACATGCATGTTACAGAGAAGTCAAACATTACCGTCTTCGCAGTATTGCCACCAACCCGGACCAGAGGCAGGAAGGTTTGCTGGTAGCGGCACGCAATTGCACAATGAAGCCTCTGCGTGTGCATGTTTGTGGATGTTCACTGAGGCTGTCACAGAAGCGATCGTTATAATTGAGGATTTACATCATTCCATAAATTTTCCCAACTGGTTTAGGGAACCATTATTATTTACTAGCTGTTTTATAAGTCGGCTGGGTGTATTGCTGCACTTCTCCACAAGGCAGGAGCCCACACCTCAGCAACGCGGCTGACGTCAGTCCCAGTTCTCAGGACAGCGTGTGACGGGGTTGATGACAGCAGTGCGACCTGTGGTGCAAATCGCACCTCACTGCTATTGTTCAGCCAGTATGGACGTGGAAAGGGGAGAAAGGCAGAAGTGGCTTAAAGTGCAGAGGTAACTGCAGTCAGAGCAACGTGGAGAGGTTTAGTGTAAACAAAAATCTGGTTCTGCGCGGTCTAGCGTGAATGGCTCAATGTCTTGTGACATGCATTCCTACAGGAGAAATGTGTGGTTTTGTTAAATACTTCAGAAAAAAAAATGTATTGAAGCTTATCTCCCCCTTCTGGAAACTCTACCTCTACAAATCCCACGAAGATTGCAGCATACAGAAGTTATATTTCAAATATTTGTTATTTCTATTTCTAATGCTTAAGGAGATATGGCATTCTTTATTTTATAGTGCTTTCATTTCTAGTATGCTGAAAAGTAAAATATTATTTTGAATGAAAGCAAAATGAGATGGTTTACGCTGGGTTGCCGAGGACTCTTCTTGTGTTACTGACAATGTTCAGTCAGGCAACACCAAGTTCTTCGATAAAAGTCCAAATTCCGCTGCTGTTCAGACGGATTTTGTGTCCTTACCTTGCACTTCTGTTAAAATGAAACCGGCGATTTATACCCGGCCGCTATTTAATCACTGTTTCCACTCACGGTGCATCAGGCTCCTGCTGTGGCGTTATGCGATTTCTTGGCCAAACGACTCATTCATCAGAAAGGTGTTACCGCCTGCAGAGCGAATTCTTGAAGACTTGGAAGCGGGCTCCTTGGTGCTCCGCGAGGGCCGG